AAACAAATACTTGATATATTCACGAACATATCTTTTTATTAGTTTATTTAAAATATTTCACTAAAAATATGACTTTTTGTATGTGAAAGACTTATAATGTCCACTGAAAGTATATACATACTAATATTAATATTTTAATATACATACTATATTAAAAGTTAGTAATATCAACACTATAAAGACTAAGTGAGTACGAAGAGGTCACATGATCGGTCAAATTGACCAAGTACATGTTGAGAGAGTTAAAAGAAAAACATAATCAAAGGTAGTGTAATTAATACTGTAAACAATAACTGCACCCCAAATGTAGTGCAGTTAAAACTTTGAAGAATAACTGTACATTAAATGATACTACATCACCTGAGATAAGGGTCAGTTAAGGAACAGAACAAAGGCATTACACTGCCTGAAATCAGAGTGACTGTAGGAATGGAAAAATGATATTTCACCACCTAAGATAAGGGTGACTTTAGGGATGGAAAAATATTACACAGCCTGAGAAGAGAGTAACTGTACGGACAGAAGAGTGATATGATGGTTGTACCCATAACTAGTCAATTCTGGGTCAAAGGTCAAGAAGGCTTATTCTGAATTTTTACATTTATCAAAGAAAAATGAACAAAACATAAAGCTAATCTTCTCTTGGATTTAGAGGTTTCATGGAGTTGAATAAGGAAATAACTTACACTGTTTTTGTAAGGTTCCTGGCTACCATCAGAATCACTCCTTGAATCATATTCTCTGCTACCTTCTTTTCCTTTGTTTTCAAACTCCAAGTCATGAGCTGAATCTCTCCTTTTCTTGACACATTTCTTTCCTTCTCTGTCTTCATCACTTACAGTAAAACCATCTGTAGCAATAGCAACATAACCTGTTATTTGTCTTGATTTCCAATAATTTGTACTAATCACGAGTTCTTACGACTTGTTACAGCTATAATAACTGAACAGTGTGTAATTTGTTCTAATACACAAATAACTTCTACTATTCTAACACACATTGATGTTATGATAATGTTATGATCTTCGCTTCTCTCAGAATAAAGATATAACTCTACTCTTCTAACACATGTTGTGGATAGACTGTTTGACATCTTTCTCAAAAAGAGAGAGAAATTTTTTGGTTACATTACACAATATGAAATGCTAAATAAGGTCAAAATGTAGTTCTGATACACACAGTTCTATCCTCCAGTCTATATTGGCTATAGTTGTCACATAACTTAACGATTTGCTTATTCAGAATTACTTTAACACAACATACTCAACTCTGTTATCTTGTGTGCATATTTGTTGCTACTACAACTACCTAAGAAACAGCACTAACTAGAATAGTAAAACAAAGTTAAAACATTACTACAAAAACAAAAATCCATACACAGATATAAGTGTATCTAAATTTAAGATATTAGAAACTATCTGAATAGATGTATGGCCACAAGTTCCTTAGTTATAAATGTCTAAACTTAAGATATTAGAAACTGTCGGAAGAGATATAAACTGGATAAACTGATGTGTAGCCATAGGTTTGTTAAATTTTCTATCAAAATTTACAGTAACAGAAGCTATCTGAATAAATGTATGAGAATTAAGGTATAAGAAAATGATTATATAAGAGACAGTTCCTTGTATAAATTATCTGTGTACAGATAAAATTATATAAACCAAATTCTTCTATACCACTTTCGGGAACAGGTTTCTGGGTCCCAGATGAGGTTGCTGCTTTTACCAACCAAGAAGGTAAAGTTCTTTTCCTTTTAAAAGAAGGCTTCTCCTCAGGAGGTGAAACTATTTTATTCTTGGGGGAACAACCCAATGTAGATGTTTTATTTTGAGGGTAGAATGATGAGCTTTTCTTTTCTGAGAAAACTGAATCTTTTTTCATATTGGAAGTAGAAACTGACATTGACTGTTTTTCAGCAGATAACTGTGGAGTATTCTCTTCTACAGGAAGTGGTTGTGGCCCTGAATTGCTTTCCATAGAGACCTGTACATCTGTTTTATTATCAAAAACCTGTTGTTTTTCACAAGGCTTATCTTGCTGATACCAGAGACCCTAAATAACAAAATAAAGAATCAGTTGTTGTTTTTCACAAGGCTTATCTTGCTGATACCAGAGACCCTAAATAACAAAATAAAGAATCAGTTGTTGTTTTTTGCAAGGCTTATCTTGCTGATACCAGAGACCCTAAGCAACAAAATAAAGAATCATTTGTTGTTTTTTGCAAGGCTTATCTTGCTGATACCAGAGACCCTAAATAACAAACAATATTTTTACATTTTTATTTTAGATTCTCTTTCTATAATGTAACTGTACATCTTTATTATATACAATTTTTTCAGCAGCTAAACACACTCAACATACCTTCACTCTTCAACTGATTACTTTATTTTGACAGATTCAACATTTGTCTATAGTGTAGCTAAAAGAGAACAACAAATATGTTGTGTATATGTAAAAATAACTGCTTCATTGACTTCCAAGTCAGATATTGTTTGATTGTTGATAAGCCTAATTCTACACAATTAGCTGTATGTGCTGTGCTCACTATAGATATTGATACACAGTTTTTAGCTTTTTAAACCTTCAGACTTACCACTGAGCCTTTGGGGGGCAGTATGAATTTAATTAAACAGATAATTGAACTGATAAATAAACAACAGATCCCAGCATTTTGGTCTATTACCTTGAAAAAAGTCTGTAAATGAGCAATCCTACCAAAAACTAAACTTTCGATTTTAAACAACCGTACAGTTGAACTTCTGTTAGTCAACCATGAAAATCTTTTCAGAAGATCTTCTCAAGACAAAGGAAAATGTAATGAAACTTTTTCTTTCTAACTAGTAAAAACCTCAGGCACAAAATAATTAATTATTCACTTTATTTATACTTAATACTTCAAGAAAAAGGAAAATAGAAAATGTAACCTTCAGAAGTCATTTAACAGTTTACCAATCTTTAACAATATAGGATTCCTTCCTTCTAAGAATAGAACAATAGAAACTAGCTTTTCGAAGTTAATATTTTCTTTACCTGAAACAATTACTTTGTGTTGGATGTGTTCAACACCGTCTGTATTACCCTGAAAACCTCGTCTAAATGACAGGCATTGTGCAGGGTTGGATGTGGTCAACACCATCTGTGTTACCCTTATCAATTTGAATTTTTGGTAAGTATTCCATGTGAGGTGTTGCCAGCCACTCAACAGGATCTTGTAACACTAAACATAATGACCATAGTGTTAAGTTTTAGAAAATAAGTGTTTGGTTGTATGTGTATATCCTTTGCCTCATTCTTTGTTTTTTGCTGAATTAATCCTTTTGAGACAGGTCACAGGTGAAAGGCCATGTC